AGATATGACTTGAAAACAAACAAATTAGTGTTTTAGTATTTCCACAGTTATGAGCATTTACCTAAAGTTTAATGAAATATTGGGTAACCTGTAGAGAACCAAAACAACTTTTTCGGAATAAATTTACGATCGAACGGTTTCGATATAGCGGTGTGACGTATTATAGGTATATATTATAAGGGCATTGCAAAAGCTACGAAACTTTTTTTAGCGAGAAAAAGTTTCAATATTATATTGTTCTTAATAGTTTTGAGCATAATTTTACAATACAATCACATCTGCAATACATTTAATATTAAATAATGATAGAATAATTCTTTACGTCTAAAATTCCTACCGTGGATGCGTTAATCAAAACAATCATCAATACGATTTTTTTATTTATTACATACTACGCGTATACTAAAACCTCTCCGTAATGTTTTTAGGTTTTGTTCTCGGAAATATAAAATTTAATTGTTGTACACATCGTAGTGTACAAAGAAACATTCTTAAATAACTATATTATAGGTTGGTTGAAATTCCCTTGGAACAAATGTTAAAAAAATTATTTAGTATAATGCTTCACGTATATTCATATCTTGAATAATATTATATTTTCATATCGTACAACTTTGACGTGTATAAATAGAGGATTGAATCGTCATTTCGAGTTGTATTAACCTATACAATATAATAAACAATATTTGTGAGAAAAAATCGATTCGCTTTCTCTGACAGCGTATACTTTTGTATTAGCACTTGAAAGTCAATTAAACGACGCGTGTCGAGTTGTATAGTATGCGTTTAATTGTATTATTATAAAATGGTCTTTCACGGGAAATATAATACCGTAGGCGTATAGTCAAATAGGTGTAATGATTATAATATTTGCCCGATCGGAGGACAATAATGTATCTAGAAATTAGAATATACTGCCTTTATATTACTATGCGGATAAATCGTTGTTAAATGCGAAATTAAAATAAAAAATTGGTTATTTTTATATTATTTGTCGGTATGTACGCATGGACAATAATTGTGAAATTAATAAACGATAACGCACGATTGTCCGCACAATGGACCTGCAGTGAGCATGTGTAGGTACATAATATGATATATCAATATAAAGCACTTCAAACCTGCGATCTTAATTAAGAATAATGATGATTGCGCACGGAGTCGTAAAAAGTTAGTATTTGGCACATAGCATTTAAAACAAATATGTTGGAATTCTTTAAAGTATAAAGGCAAATCATTTTGATTGTTCGTTCATTGTCTGTAGTGCCACCTGCATCCTAATAAATGCACTAATCATCATTACCCATATTAAAATGTAGGTATGTAAGTGTACTACTTAAGTATTACGGAGAACTCTACAAATTGCAATAAAATAATAGGTACTCTTTAGATAATACTAACCATCGTCCATCAATTAAATAGCTCTAAACGTACCTAACGATGATTATCAACGGTAGATAATGAAATTAATTAATAAACTAATAAATTACGACTGTGCAGCTAAAACGTTATAAATTTGTGATACCTAGTTAAAATATTCATTGAACCGTTGACAATATTTTGTCCTTGCTGTAAATTATATTAATATTGTTCATGTACTTCAACATTTTTACGCTATCAATATGAATGTGTATCAAAGATGAAAGAACCAAGAGAGACAGATAACAGATAGCATAGTAAGCAGAAGAAGATTTCGTGTAGAACTGGTTAAAAAAATATTGTTAAATATTTGTCTCTTAATATGACAGCACACGTACTTACGCTGATTAAATAGTTTGATATATAATATTATATAGGTACATAGGAACCTTTGTCATTTTTATAAAACTGTACAGCGATATTATTGGTAAATGGTAGTTATTCGTATTTAAGTATTTTATTATATATATGTCAACACTTGTGTACTTATGGTATCATCAATGCCGGTACGATAATATTAGTACGGTGATAGATGGTGGGGTTAAAACGGTTTGAAATCCATGGAAATTCTCTTCACGCAGATAGTTTGAGTTGTTTATTTACCAGTAAAAATACAAGTATCCGTGTAAATAAAACCGTTTTAACACCATCATATAAACTTACTATACCTATGATCAGTACCACGGTACATTCATATAGGTTTTTTACGGTGTAACAGGTATTACGATAAACTATATCGTATTAATTAACCTTATGTGATGGTACACCGGTATAAAATTGCATTACCGCATGTTGACAGCATTTTCATTTTAATTTGATTTTTTAATACCTACTGATTTTCAAATTTAACATTTTTATGTTAATACAATTTACATTCATATTTTCATGAGAGTTCTTGTTTGAATGCGTTCGTGCTTGGTCATTCATACGATATATTAATATATTATAAAAAGTATTTTATTTCATAAATAAAATAAAATATTAATTTCTGAAAACAGTTTTGAAATCCGATTTTTTTTTATTTGTTCTATGTACGAGTAATAACTAATAATATTGTTTGTTTGAAAATTAGGATTAGTTAATTAAAAAAAATATATTCATGTGTAGTGGAGTTACCAAGCATGTTCGTGCTATTTTTTTCTTTAATGATGCAGTTATTCAAAACCTGATTTTTGAAATTTTTAAATATACTTAAAGACCATATTTCTTAAGTTATTTTGTACTACTTAGGAAGTCTCCTGTCAAATACTTTAGAATATATGAATACGGGACAGTCAATGTTAAAATGCTTGCGACATAGGTACCCAAAAATAATATCGTGGTTGTTTGCCTACATGAGAAATCATTGGGCGTAGTCGACCTCAAAAATTATACTACCAAAGAATACAGACATCTATTTATACTATTTTCAATTACGTATAGACAATTTAACAACCTCGGTATGGGATAAAAATCCATTTCTTATACATATTTTAATCAGAAATTAATAGGTAGGTACATAATATTAAATTCAACGCCGTAAAATGTTTTAATTAGGCAGCCCTCTTTATTCTTGGGGACATAAAGTGTCTCACTTATGTAATCGAACTGTATTCTTATCTATAGTATTTTCTGCAGATAAGTATACAAACTTCTTTACAAATGAGAATCATACTTTTCTACTATAAATTATTTAGCGGATAATTACGTTAATGATTTTTTTAAATTATTAAACCAATTATTACACTTGACATGGTAATTTTTAAAAAAAAAAAACCAAAACTATAGGTACTAGTTATTTTATACGTTTTCATAAATTTAATTTGGGATTATTAACATTTTTGATATCAAAATAATATTATTAGGTATTGGTAGAGGGGCACCTATATATGGTTATATTTAATTATTTTGTTATACTTTAATTCAACTTTATTCCCAATTTCCATAAAGTTGTCAAACAAAGTTTAGTTTATGAACCTTACACCACAACGAACCAAATATAATTAATTTGTTGGTTTAAATGCGTGGATATAGTTGTAGGTAGTTACTAAATTTTAGCTCGAGGCATTTATGAATTATCGTCTTATCATCACACCGTAATTTTATTTTTCACGTACACAATACAAAATATCTATCGAATCCAACTTGTGTGTTTTTATAAATGACTGTTACTGATGTAAATAATATATTATATATCTATACAGTATATATGTTTTTTATTAACCATTACATATGAGACCTGAACCGTTTTCTTATGATTTTGCCCCCAAGCAGTATCATTTATTTACAGTAACGAAATACAATTTTCATTTCGCTTAGCAGACTGAAGACTGTTTTCCTTGGCGCTTGACCATTTAGCTAGTGTGTATTTACAGTGTCCAGGACCCAGCGATCAATAGACTTTCGTGGACCAAAGAGGAGACCGTCCCGCCTTATCTTCCCTTAAAAATCATGTTTCGTTATAATAACAAAATAATAAACATTATTGATTTTGGTCTGCAGTGGTTATATATATATCCCTGTGTGCAAAAATTGGTGCTATAGATGTCACATAGACTTCTCATTTAGTAATGCGAAGTTATAAATTAATGCTTATTAACTTCTTTGAGATGTACTTGGTACGCCAAACGCCAGGTTGATTGATATTATAAATACGATATTAGGTTAAGTGAGGTATCATCTACATCTCTATAATCTCGCATGGTTTTTATATTTAAGTAACAAAAGGTCAAATAGAGCTACATTTTATAGTTGAATAGACATCTGATACAGGATCTATTAGAAGTTACAAAACAACGCATTCATGTCGCATAGAAGTATACATTATCAATAATATTATAACATCTATGTGTTATCAATTAAATGCCTATATTTATATTCGCATGGATATCACAATATTAACACAATATTGAACATACTTTACATATAGATAAGTACCTATTTATATAGGTACATATAATATATAATATATATATATATATTATTTGTATATAAACCTACTTATCCAACATACCTAAGTTGATTGACTTGAATATATTTGTATATTGTGTTCATATAAGAATAAATAAATTATAATAAAGTTTAATTTATTCATAATTTAATAATTAATATTTAGGTATTTAAATTGCTTATAATTGAACAACTAGGTAGGTACCTATAATATATTAATATATATAATACTATATAAAACCGCATAGCCAATAAATACAAAAGTAGATTGTAGGTAGTATGACTGACTTATATATTTTATGTAGGTACCTAGGTACTTACCGTTAAAAAAAATCTTGGTTTACATAATTTTTAAATATAAATTTAGTTTAGTTTATAGAAAAAACTACTGCAATCAATTATTGTGTATTTTTTTTTACTTTTAAAGCCTCAGTGGCTACCTATAACGTATTGCCTATTGGTATATATATATTAAAGTGATAATCGTAATTCATAACACTAATAATAGTTGAATAATAAATGTAAGAATACTAGATAGTAGGAGTTAGTAAGATTATAGCAACAATTATATACTAATTATTTTTATTAGGATAAAATGTAGTATAGGAATAATAAAAAACAACAGTATTGTCCAAGTAAATGCATAATTTTATTTAATAAAGATCATGTAACAATGTAATTGCAACTGCTTTTACATCAGAAATACTAAAAAATAAACATTTATGCTTAATATCACACATATTAATAAGAAAACTATCTGTTTCATCAAATATATCTACATAGAAGTCTCCAACAATATCAGACACTAATGGATTGTCAAAAAATGGGACTGCGTTGTATTTTACAACTTCAAAATATACACTTCCATTAGCCTTTTTTATAATTTTTTTAATACAAATAATGACATTATTTTTCAACAAAAAATACATATTTTTCTTGTTTACAGAACTCAGAATACAATTTTCAGTTATTACATTTTCATAAAGAGTATCTGTGGGATCAGGATGAATTAAATGATTATAAACTATTTCTTTTTTTAAAATTGGGTAACTAGCAATTGGTTCAACTATCTCAATTTTTGTTTGTTCTATTATTCTATTGAACACATCTTGAAGAGGAAAACGAGCATTTTTTAATGACATTTTAATCATTTGTAGGTAATTTTCAAATTTGAATGCACTAAATTTGTCCAGTGGTCCATGTATTTTTACAAAATGTGCAATATGAATTAAACCATGTACATTATATGTAATATACTCTTCACCATATAAAAAAGAATATTCTTCAACAAATTGTCTCAATAAATCATTGGCAACATCATTGTAAACCATACATGTATCACCAGATAACAGGAGTCTAATGGCGCAATGTAATAACATAAAGTGTTTGTAGAGCGATTTTTTAATCTGCCCTTCAGTACAATAGGGCCAGAGTATAACAAAAAAGATCTAAACTCTGTCGCTTTCCAATACTCTAGTTCTTCTAAAGACCGAGGGGAACGACTAAATTCTTTGGGGAAAAATGCTTTAAGACAAATAAGCTCTGAAGAAACTTCATTAGAAATATCATCATTCAAAAATCGAACTAGTTTTTTGCCTTTTTTCCAAAATAACAATAATCTTTTAACAACGCCCAAACATATATTGTGCATATATTCTAATACCACGTTGTCTACTATATTTGTATTAAATTTGGTTAGTGGACAAAAACCTTTATGATAGTCTTCATCGTGTTGATTACGAAATGAAATATTTGTCCGTAAAGAAGAATTTAAGTCAGGAAAAGCCATTCGATTATTTAGAAAAACACCTTCGACAATACATGAATTACAGCTATGGTAGGCATTGTGTCCTTTTACATTCAAAATAAAAGCCTTTGCTGGGGCATCACAAATTACCTGGCTAATATTTAAAAAAAAAGTTTTGTTATTGATAGACAAGCCATTGACTAATAATAATTCCATTTCAGAAATGAATGGATTTAAAAAATCAGATATTGAATTTGGTTTTTTGAATTTACCATGGTAAATTCCAACAGGTACAACTATTTTAGATAATTCATGAATATCAATAAATGAAATTAATATAGGCCAAAAATTGGATTTTGAACTTTTTGTTGTAGGAAGACCATCAATATTCAAACTTAATTTAATTATAGAAGTATGTTTAATTTTATCAAAGTATTTAGTTAAGATTGGTGTGATCATGAACTCAATACCTATATGAATATACGATCCTGGTTCTATACTAATAATTTCATGTTTTTTAGGAGTTTTTAATAAGGTTCTCGAATCTTTGGGTAATTTAAGACCTTCTGATCTTAAAATTACTAAAAGCTCATTTACAAAGTTATGTGATACATGGTATTTAGAAATTAACTTTTGCAATTTATTTTCTAATGAAATTTGATCACAATCATTAACATAATTGTCACTTGCAAAATTATCTACAACACATTCAGCAGTAGTATGTACTACTGTAGTACTAGTTGAGTTAGTTTTTGAAAGGCTAATATCTGAACATACGGTCATTTCTGTAGTATCTTCAGACAATGTTGTTACTGGAGTGAAGTTATTTGAGAATTCCTCCTCTGGTTTTGTTGTTACTTCCATGCTGATACAACCCGAGTCCTTTTCGAGTGGATTAGCTGGTTTAATATTTATAGATAGCATAGTACGTTGAAATTGTCTTCTTGACATTGCATGAATTTCTTTTCTTTTTTTCAACTATAGTTAAAACAATAAATTGTATTATTAATAATCAAGAGTGATGCATTTTAATTAAATTGCATAAATTGCATTAAATGCATTTTAATTATGGAGTACATAAGTGAAGCAAGTCTCAAACTAAATATTTGTTTTAATTATTATTATATTTAAATATAACTGTGCACTAATTAATGTATTCGATGTTAATCTGCTAATAAATAATATAATATAATTATATATCATTTTGGTAACATTTTAGTTAATATGTATTAAGTATTTGTAATGCTCAAGTGTATGTATATTATATTAAAAAATCTGGAAAAATAATCCCTTTAGTAGGCATCTAACATATTATAATTAAAAAGGTTCGTTTGAATCATCTTTTTTATCAACAATTAAATTGTTATTGCTATACTATATCATAAGTGTTCCCACCATTCAATAGAGGGTACAGTTTAAAAAGTTTATTAGATTACAATTATACACACCAACACACCATAATTATTATATACGATATAGAGTATTGAATATTATTTAGATGTATTTATTGTTTTCTCTCTTGTGAATCTTTGATTACCATGACGAAACCATTCTTTCACATGTTCTTCGAAAACCACATCAGTATAACTAAAATTAATTCTACCTATTTCTGTGAAAAAAATAAACAAGATTTTTAAAATAAGATACAATAATTTTTGTTTTTAAACAATAACTTTAATTTACCTTTCATTATGTTAATTATTTTAAGATTTTCAAGGCGGAAATTATTTCGAAATTCGGTCCATGAGCATTTTGATGAAAGCTCATTTGTAAATAAGCGTTGTAAAATGCGCTTAACAAAATTTTTAATATTCTTACCGCCAATAGTAGAAATGAAATTTATCTATGAATCAAACATTATATTTATTTATGAGAATAATTTAGAAAAAGAAATTACTAGGATACCATTTTCTTCTCAAACTGCTCATCATTTCTTATTTTTTCATCAATATTTATAATATTTTGAAAGTCACTAATAGGAAATATAGAAAAACTATCATCCAATGATTGTTTATTAGCTGGACTAGTTGATGAATCTACTAAATATTTTTCGATTCTATCCATTCTTCCATCAAGTCGTTTAATATAACTGTAAATATTTCTGAGAAGAATTATTTCAGCAGTTTCTACTAAAAAAGCTCACAAAAAATAAAATATTAATACCTACACAATTTAAATATTTATTGAAATAGATTAAAAAATAGAAATATTTTATTTATTTAGTAGGTATTCATTACCAGGTTCATCTGAAACTATGTTATGGTTTACAATATTTGATAAATCCTGCACTGAATGTGCGCTTAGACAAGACAAGTTGAAGTTGTCTTGTTGAGACGTTTCGTTCAAGTTTATTTGTTCACTATAACTTTGATCTATAGAAATAATATTATTAAAAAATTAGTTAAATGATTTTATGATTATTATTTGGTACTGAATAATATGAACCAATAGCATAATGTGTTTAAAGATTGTTAATATAATATATAAGATAAATTGATGAACACTAAAAAAAAAACAGTAAGGAAAACAGTATGAATTAATAATATTCATTACAGTAGATAATTGACAAATATACTTTCCAGGGTTATCAAATACAGAAATCATTTCACTAATTGTTTTAATACTCTGTGGCACAGATGAAAATATATGTGAATTACTATTGCTTTCATATACATTTGGATTGTTCATGACATTGTGTCCTGATTCGGACATCTGAGAATTGTCATCAATATTTTGAAGCGTATTTATCATATCTGCAAATAATTCATTACTTAATTTAAAATTAAATCCTTTTATATTTTTTATTTTATGCATAAAGATAGAAAGTACATACATGGTATGCTGCAATTATTAATATTGCTATTAGATACAGCTGCAGGCTCACCAGAGCCTATTGTGCAATTTGAGTTCAATACATTTCGGTCTTGATTACAAAGAATACTTTTACTTGGGCTTTTACTGGACGTTTTAGAAGGATTAATAATATGGCCAATTTTTATAGGAGAATCGCAAATATCTAAAAATTACATTTCATGAGTTAACTTATTTTATTGAATTTATATAAAATAATAAGCATTCATCTACCACTGTCAGTATCTTCATTGTTCTTTTTTAAATCTTTTCTTTTCCTTTTTCCTCGCCCAAGACTTCTTTCAGATTCTGATAAAAATATTTCCCTTTCTTTTTGTATTGCTCTATCATACGAATCTATATATATTTAAAATTATGCTGAATAAAATAAAACAATAAGGTAAATCAAAATCACAATAAAACATACCATAACTTTCACCAATAATATTTACTGGGAAAGATGACCAGTCTACGTTTGGTTCATCTGCTTTTATTATCATTAAAGCAGTAACTCTTTGTTTATTTGGCCATCGACAGAAATCACCTGTACGGGTACTAAAAGTCCAATTACTTGGAATAACAGAATATTTGTTTTCATCTTCAAAAAATCCTATTTTCCACTAAAAATATTAAAATAAAATTAATAATTATGTGCATAGTTTGCCGGTATATCTAAAATTAATTAGTTTAACTGTCAAAGACTAAGACAACTATTTATTTGAGTATTCTTTGTTTTCCTTATAAGTGTTTACTAGATGAGTACCTCGATGAGTACTTAACTTAAAAATCAATGGTTTTCACAAAATTATTTTTCACCATAACTTTTCAAATGTTGAAATAGGTACATACTTAGGTATTGTTTTAAAAAAAAGAAAAACTAATATTTACTTATAATAGCTATTATTCGCTCTACCTATAACTTTTATTTGAATCGTACCTAGGTATTTTAAAAGGTTTTTATATGCAGGGTTGTAATATATTAATTAGGTAGGTATCTACTTGGTATACCTATACTCAGATTCATGCATCAATGGATAGGTGTCAATAGGTATGCAGAGGCTAGAGAGGACTGATTCAGTAAAAGAATCTGTAGAAGACCTAGGTGTATATTGATTACTGATTAGGTATTAAGTATTAAATAATATGTAAAAACATTTTAGTTATGACAGTTGCCCCAATTCAGTGTCTTTATGAGGAGGGACAGTGACGTATGGATTGCTCTTTCCTTGGACATTTTATTTTATATATACCTATTTCACTTTACATAATTTTTCAATACTTCCATCACTCTACTTCGAGGTGTAAAGGCCTCTTCTGAAATGACTAATGAGGAAATTAACCTATACCTGTGTTAACGTCACCATACACTGCAGTGGTGGCAGTAAAATTCTATTGTCTTGGCAATTGTGCCAGGCTTCATTTTATATCTATAGCTGCAGTGTGTGGAGAGTGGTGACGAGGACCTTTACATGTATGATTTAAAATATTATCTAATATGATTTTTAATTACCTGTTTTTTTACTGGATCCATATTGTAATTTTCCTTTTTGAGGATATCACTCACGTCGTTACTCGTTACACGATACTAGAAAAAAACTAGTCGATAAGTACACGTAACAGTACTCAAACACGGTGATCAGCGTGAATCAGGATCCGGAGTTGTGACTTGTGAGACACAAAACGAATGTGTAACTGTAACAACTAACAATTAAACAATATAATATTTTGAAACGAGTGAAACGCAACTACGCAAGTACGCACCGTGTTAAGAACTAAACAATAGTATTATATTGCTATTACCAAATAAGTCGAATAAAAACAACTAAAAATAGCGGTAATGATAAATGATAATATATTAATAATACTTAAATACCCTCTCTGGCTCTTTTATAAATATCATGCTGTTATTATTGTACTGCGATAATGCGATGTGTATGTGACTTCCAAAAGAAGTTGGGGAATTAATTTTAATTATAATTAGATTTATAAATATAATTTACTATTTTTATTATTTAAAAATACCCAAGTACCATACATATCAAGATTTGCGACAACCTGGAGACGTTATATTATAAATCTTATTACGACTAACTAGTATGAGAGTTTCATTTTGAAACTTGTTATAGATTATGTTTATGTGATATTAATGGGATGTTATGTTGTGATCTTCGAATAATTAAACCTCTCTATAACTTTAAAATGTAAAATAATATGGAACTTTTATTTTGCACACAATATTGACTTCCTGGAGAAGTTAAATTCAAAATAAATATAATTTGTACTTCTATGCGAGATACATTTTAGGACTTCCCATAGTCAACATAATTATTACATCTCTTATATACAACATCATTAATAATTATTTTAAAATGTATCGTTAATTAACTATAGAAGTAAAATTGTGAGGTTACAATTAAGAATTAAAATCACTATCGCCGAGAACTAATGTTCATCATTTTGCACACATGGTGCAACCGTTAGGATAGCTACCTATATACTGTTAACTGTCAATACATTCGAAACATTGACGTCCTCCTATACAAAAACATAATATTATGTATACACCCATAATATCCATCATCATAATATCTTGCTCGATGAATAATATTATCATGGTGCGTATACATATATTCTCGAAACGAGACGACGACGACGACGCACAAAAAGTACACTGCACGACGCTCGCGCGAGGTCTCCACTCTCAGCTCAGCATCGAACCCCCGGCCGGATCAGTGGGTGGGACTCCAGCTGGTTATATATATTATACAATATATATATATATATATAATATACGAGCTGACTGTGACGACTGCGACGGTGGTATAGTGCGTATACAGAATCCAATAAGGCGAGGGTGCTCAATCATGTCGTCGCTGCAAAGGTACAGATCGATATGGACCGCACGTGCTTAACCGTATAGTATATACCGTCCCAATATATATATATATATATATATATGCGTTGTAGATGGGTAACTTATTCGTGCGGTATCGTGGTGGTAGTCGCGAGGTTGTGTAGCGATCAACTCGGTCTGTTGAATGCAATAATACTGTAACAGTCTCTTTGAATATGAAATCTGATAATTCAACACTATATAGGTGTTACGCATACATGGACAATAACCAGATAGTGAAAACCCTGCAATTCACTGTTCGCACGTACCATCGAAGATGCTATATTTTGCAGGTGGCACACTGAGGGTAGAATAGTGGTGTATTTACTAGGGGAAGGGGACAGGTCTGGTATAGTCGTTCAGTCACTGCAAAAAATTAATGTAATGATCAATACAAAAAAGTTCACTGTCCGCACGTTTTATCGAAGATGCTATATTTTGCAGGTGGCACTAAGGGTAGAATAGTGGTGTATTTACTATAGGGGAGGGAAACTGGGCTGGTATAGTCGTTCAGTCACTGCAAAAAATTAATGTAATGATCAATACAAAAAAAAAAATGTAGAAGTCACTCTGCTGCAAATATTACCTGCCAGCTGGTGTCGAGGGGATCACCGTAATTGACATGTTTGATTATTGAATCCAATGATATAAAATCATAGGTAGGTTTGCGAAAAACGATTCTGAGCGAAGAAAGTTTATCAGCCTATATCATTAAGTATATTTTATGATATTATTGCTATTAGTTTAAATTACTTTAAAGTAATAATTTATTTTAATATTAGTAATACAGTAGGTTGAATTGATTTTTACCGAAAACATTGCATTTAAAAATATCATTGTGTCTATAAAATACAATAATATACTTTAAAAGTTCCAAGTAGGTATAATAATATTTACAAATTACAACAAAACAACCAAAATCAATATCCTATGTTTAGATTTTTTGGTCACAGTATGAAATAATTATGACTTATGAGAAACCTTGTTTTAAATTTTCAATCCTTAACTATAAAAATTGAACATTTTATAAATTTTTAACTAAAAAATAATTTGAAAATGTTCAATCTGATAAATGTCAAAATTTGTACTTTGAATACTTATGAACCAAAAATATTCCATATGCATTTTTAATATTTTTAAAGTACTATTGTAAAAACGTATGAGTATTGAGTAACCTTGTACCTATTACAATGTCATGTTCAGTATTTTCAAACAAAACATATTTTTTTTTCTCGATTGAAGTCGGGTTATACCGATAGTAGGTAGGTCATAAATGATATACTATTTGTTTTAAAACATTATATTATTTTTACTTATCAAATTTTATAGTTTTTTTTTTTTAAATTAAAATTAAAATTAAATCAAAATAAATATTTTTTACTATTTTTATTAAGTCTAAAGTTCATTTATTTTTAAATCGACTATTACAAGAATTGTTTTCTTAAGTTGAAGTATAAAATAAATAAATAAATATATGCATGACACTAATGAGTAATAATAACTAAGTTAAAAAAATAAATCTAACTATAGTTATTTTAGAATATATAATTTTCTTAACACTTCTTAACTTTGAAGATATAGTAGCATCTTGACATTTTTAATTTAGTAGTGGGTACATAAAATAAATAAAATTATTATGATGAGCGGAGTTGCTAAACTATTGTAGGTAGAAATGTGAATTCTAATATCGAATGAATAACAATAAATGCAAGTATACAACGTTTGAAAATCTCATAAAATTTACAATTTAAAAATATTATTTCAGTTTTTATTAATTTACGAAAAAAGCCTAATAGGTACCTACTATGATCAACCATTAGCCGTCGCCTATACATTTCCTTCGTGGAGTATTAGAATCGTTAATGTTTTGTGTTTCGATATTAAACGCATCCATGTATTATGATTAATAATTATTTTTCCTTTATTCGAATTTAGATTAGCCACCGGATTTCCAAACTGTAAGACCCGTCAACAATGGTTGGTGTACCATTACCGTGGATCCGGCGACCGACTGGTGTTGTACCCAAACGGAAAACTCAGACACTATGTCCTCAAACACCAGCACGGCAGCACCGAAGAACAACAGCAGCAGAACCATGACTTCATCGTGGATCACGAACGTTCCTTCGACTACGAACAAGGATTTTACTGTTTGGACAAAGTAACGACATAATATTATGTTAATATTATTATGCATTATAATATGACCATTAGGATCTGCGTATGATTTGACGAGTTAATATAAAGTTTGATTGCTCTAGGAGCTTGTTGGTATTAGTGGTATGATTAGGGCTCGATTTTTTGGGGAGTATTGTATAATATTTTTACATTTCTAGTTTTGAGTTTATTCCGTCACACATGAGCTTCAAATTATTTACCTGAAAATTGAATATATGAAAATAATCTTTGGTATATTAAGAAAATATAATTATACATAATATACTGAAACCTACATTATAACCTGACTTCATACGGGAAAAAATTATCAAACACAACATACGGTGCTATATTGGTGTACAAATCGGCATCGGTAGGTATACCTAGCTTTATGAGCTAATGGTTCCTTTGGCACAGTGTTTCCCAACCAGTGGTCCGCGGACCACCGGTGGTCCGTGGGCCAGTCATAGGTGGTCCGCGGTACCTTTCTTAGTTTTCTATTAAAAATTATTTTTTTTTTTTAAACAGCGAAAAATATTTTATTTTACCGTAATATACAGTTATCTTATCGTATACAAAAATCACACTAAGTAAATTATTAGTAAAGTTTAATAATTATATATAATAGTACAGTAAGATAATAAAAATTTTCCAATAAATTTTTGTGTATTCTTGTTAATGAGCAAAAAAAAAAAAAAAAAAGGTCTTCCTAGTTTGAGGTGGTCCGCAACCTATAAAATATTGTCAAAGTGGTCCGTGGTGGTAAAAAGGTTGGGAAACACTGCTTTGGCAGATTGCATATAGCACTCGGTATATTTTTGAACGTAGTTCAAACTACTTTCTAAACTTTCATAATATCTATCTCTAAGAACAATATCTAAATCTTTCATTAAAATCGGTTTATCAATAATTTAATAAGTTTTTTTAATTTATAAGCTACAAACATAAAGACATTGCATTTTGTTGTACATTTTGATTACAAATAATAAAAATTAAATATTATTTTATTTTATTTTATTTAAAAAAAAACCCAATTGTGACCATATTTTACAAATTATATTTCTATAATCAAATGACAACAATATATATTATATTCACAATAAATGAATCGATTTTCGTAAGCATTACGAACTTTGTATGTGAGCTACCTTAAAGCAACCTTTATATTGATTGAAAATGAAGCTAAACAACACCTTCCTGGTGTAATCTATAAAAGTATAACTTTTATTAGTGGTTTCTGGGATTAGTGCTTTCAAACATACAAACTCTTCGGCTTTTTAATACCTTATTAGCCTCAACTCAAGGGAAAATAATCCAGAAAATAATCGATTACGGTGTACCTCGCTTTGTCAACTAATTCAACCGAGATGGGCAACCACCTGTCGATGTCGGGGATTGGATATAGCACTTGGTATTTTTTAACGTGGTTTATACTACTCTCTAAACTTTTTTGATATCTTTAAGAATAATCTCTGAAATGTTATTATATTACAGTATAGTATATATAGAATTGAAAGAGAGAAAAGAAAGATAGTAACAATATAATAATAATATAATATATTACGTATCGTCCACAATCGAAGGGGTCTCTTCAAAACATCCTTGACATTAGTTCAAATTTTATTGAGTTTAACTCTATACACAACAATACATATTTTATTAACTATAACCCATACAACAGACGGTTATAAATAAATATATTGGTAGTTTTTTTTTAAGTACTTAGGTACTCAATGTTTTCACCACTTGAATTTGTATCAATAATATTTGTCGCAGGTCATTGACATCGATCGTCCGGACATGAACGCACAAGTGGCCGTAATCTGTACGCCACAGATACCGTCACCCTGGACGGACGCCGATTTCGTCATGCGAAGGATCGTGAACCCTGCTTGCCATGCCATTGCGATGGCTTGCTTGCTGCTCGTCGCCGTCGTCCATTTCGTTTTGCCACAGCTCAGAGACTTGATCGGAAATATGGTGACCACCCTAGCTGGCTGTATGATCGTAGCCCGGATCGCCAACATTGTCCGTATATTCGTCGAGTACAACGGTCCCGTCAGCTATTTGACAGCCGGTATGTGTATTGTTTGTATAGATATTAATGTATTAGTTATTACTCATTTATTCGTACCCATATATATTTGCCATACAGTAAATTCATAAATACCTAGTTGTACAACTGACCAGGGATTTGCACCTTTGTTTTTTTCTGTTCTGGTTCAGGTACTTAATTACTTTATAAAAAATATGATTCTGGTTCTGAATCCGGTTAAAATTGGAGTTAAGAAAAATTCTAAGATATTTTTTTATAAAAGCACTCTTTAATTTAAGTATAGGTACTCGAAAAATTATTATGGAGGTAAAAACAAAATTAATACATTTATAAATTTAAAACCCAATATTCTTCGTATATAATAATTATAAGTTAATTTGAAAATATTTAAAGTCGATTCCAGTTCCCGAACCGGTTCTTTTTAGTTCAATTCCAGTCAATAGTACTAAGTTCCTACTTCCTAGTATAAGATCTATTTTTTTGCCAGTATAAATAGTCCTCTAGGAGCTTGGGAGTCGATACTTAGTCAGGGCTTTCCTCTCATTGAATAAAAAAAAATATAGACCTACAGTTATATATTATGAACATAATATTATATTATTATGGCATTTACACAAATTTTACACTTAACTGCTACCTATCATTTAATTTAAACGTTAAAGTATCTAATACATAATATAATACCATCATGTTAGATACTCGAAATCGAAATATGAATATATAAATTGTTTGTATATTATATAGCGATTTAGTCGCTATAAATACCTTTTTTTTTCTTTTTCTTTTTTTTCAGTTTTAAACCGGCGACGCCGCCGCTGGAATTGCTTTCGCATTACTTTCGGGGCGCCAAAAAGTCGTTATAAATACCAATAAATATTAATATTAAAATGATAATCTCTTGCCATATCTACCTTGTACAAATTATTTACAGAAAATATTCAAATATAATTACTTCGTCTAAATACTAAAATACATATACATTTTTATATTTCAATCAAGGCTGTATCAAGCCATACGAATTGTTATTGTAAGGGGGATGGACATAAATTATATGACATTCTATTCGATGGTTAAAAAAAATTAATTTAAAAATGTCGATAAAATCTCTTCGTTATAAATTACTTGATAATACAAACATCTCTTTGCAGAGTTATAATAATAAAAACATAATAAGAATCATAAATAGATTTAGTACTAAAAAAGTATGGTGGCGACCAACTACAATTATTGATGTATACTATAATATTTTAAGTTCAGGTGGCGAAACCGATATTCGCTTTATATCCGTGAGCCCCAGGGACTTACAACCCCACTACAAACTAACGACCAGCCACCTTTAATCCGGCTTGTCGACAGACGATGATTTATATTTCATTCCTTTTTGTGCACCATTATAATCGTGACTCAGAATAAATAAATGAGAAATTAATGTAGGTAATTTGAAACATACAGGCGTATTATAGGTACATTTCTGTTGCAGCTGGGTTAAGGGAATATTATAATTAATTCATATTGACGTGCCACGTGCACACTGACAAGGTAAATGCTCCTGTAAATACCTACGATAAACAACGCTCAAAAGTAAATATTTTACAGCTTTTAAACACAAAGTATATAAGGTACAATATAGATTTCAATTAATAGTTAATTTTTAATAATCTCATTGGATAAATGTGTTATTGAGAAATATGATATAACTCGGTTTCACGACGGCCAAAATTATACAATACAATATCTACACTATATTATACGCAACCCTAATAGTATCGTGTTTCCGTTTTATCGTGAGTATACCGTGATTGAATATACGCTTAATATCTGGTAGGTATTTTCACAAATCATAAGATTGAAACTCTTAAGCGTTTATTATAATAAATGCTTTTGTAGTTTAGTACATAATAAAATGTATTATAATATTTAATATTATATACTTTTACCGTCGCGGTCGTTTATAATGTGTATAATAATTTCCTGTTGTACCTAAATGAAAGTGGTATATGCCTGTTTAATAGTGGTGTAATAATGTATTACTTTTAAGTAATACGTGCACAATTAATTATTTAATTTCGATAAATAATGTAGTATACCAATATAGATAATAATATATAGAGTGAATAAGTTTCGCCTTATTTGTGACCACGGTATAGCCGTTTAGGTATAATAATCGCATAGATCGAAAAGTTATACGTGTAATAACATTATAGTTTATTAATATTATGTCCATATTATTATATTTTTTTTCTCCCTTACAGACGCTTTTCTTTACACGTCCACGCTCGGCTCGTTCTTTTGGCTGAACGCGATGGGTTACTACATTTGGCGTACGTTCAAGTCACGTAACGTGTTCCTGCGCATTACGGACGGACGCAAATACTGTTATTACTCGCTGTACGTGTGGGGTTGCACGTTAACCATGGGCGGCATGGCGCTTTTCGCACATCTAATATTGGACTCACGTGACAGCAATAGAAGCTATTCGTCGCATCCGTCTACGACCACATCGATAGAAGGAGCCATAGGTAAGTCGTATATACGTCATGACAGTAATGACATGCGACGATAAATAATATATTGTATAGCATGCATATACCTGTAAACCTTCCTCTTCAGCAAACGTGTGTTCAATACGAGAATCTTCAGCTATTTGTGTAATATTATTATGATGGGATTCGTTCGACAAAATTCAAATACTCTGCCACTAACTGCTGCGGTAGTGTTTGAATTGTACTGTTGCATTTGTATATGCTTCTATTTTTTATTATTATTTAAAATACATTTATTGATGAATAAGCCATATATTAATTTCACGACTTTACAAATGAAATATATTGAAAGTCATTGATACGTATTTTTCCTTATTTAGAGATTTTTTAATTTAATTTTAATTGTATACTTCAAAGATAGAGTTTCAATATAATACTATGTACGTTAATAGCTGTTGTAAATTTTTATAGATATTAAGTCGTTAAGAGTGGACTAGTATTAATATATTTTTCTTAATTTTAAATATTCTTAACACTCGATATAAAAACATGGAAATCCAGGAAATTAAAAAATAACGAGTGTATATTTTTGATATTTAAATGCATAACGGTAAGATCACCCATTATACGGTATTGTAACTGCGAAAAACTATGTCCAAGGTGTCTTAGTAGACGTATAACATAATAAGCTTTACAGAAGTTGTTGTTGTGTCCAAAAACTAAATTTGAGTTTTTTGTTTCTTCACAGGGTGGCTCGGAATTGCCGTTATATTTGTCCCGGTCATATGCACGATTCTAGTCAATTTATTCTTTTACATTTCCACCAAGTCAGTGATCAAACGGATGTCGACATACGGTCAAATCCATCACAAAATGAAATATAGGTAAGATCAGTGTTATTACAATAATATTAATCAACGTATTCAATAGGGACTTTAAAGTTTATGCAGTGTGAGCGTAGTATATATTATACAAGTGTGAAGTTAATATATTCAAATATACTAAAAAACAAAATAATAATAATACAAGTATTGCAATTATAATGATTTTAAGAGTTAAAAGTTCAGTGATAATTAATGTCTTCGAAAAGTTGAAAATTTACTATTTACTTTTAAGCTGCCTTAACTAATCATCACTACAACCGTAATTACTTTCAAACAAATTATTTTTCAACGTAATGAAAACTCTTTTGGTACTTTAAAGTTGAAAGTTAATATTACTAAAACGCAATCCTTTTTTAACATACTTCCTGGAAAATTTTTATTTTTTCGGTTTTGAAAAAAATTAAAAATTGTAATCTGTTAAAGAATCTGAAATAAAAAAAAACTGTTGGATAATATAATGAATAATAAAGTATTAAGTAGGTACCTATCTTAAATTATTATTTTTTGAAACGAATATTTACTGTACACATTTTACAAAAATCAAACATCTGCCAACTGTTCTTAATGGTAATATTCAGAATATAAACTACAAATTACTCACAAATATTGAAATATGAGAACTTTAGATTGCCTTCGTTTCTATGTGATTATTAAACAAACATTGGAATTGCTATATTTTTAACAAATGTCTTGGAATTGCTAAAAAAAAAATTAGTTTCTATAGTCATAAAATACCTGTATTTATTTCAATTATACTATAATACTGATTACTGACCACGAATACGGAATAAGTAATTTATTATCACTTTATATTATTCGTGATGTATTCACGGTTTCCGTACCTAATCCACTATGAAAGTTTTCCTAATTAAGTATTTTAGATTTTAACAATCATATCAATTGGACAATAGTAGATGGGTATTCACATAACCTATAATAAGTAAAATGTGTACAAAAAAATATTTTATACGTAGGGCGGTCGTACTTATATAAAAAGTCTGCCAATAATAATAAATAAATAATAATAACAAAAATATAAAATACTATTAAACAAATTGGTTTTGCTGAACTTAAATTTGCTTCGTAGTTGTACGATTGTAAGACACTGATTGACTGATGTAAAGCTACCTTCCTACAATACTAACTCATCGAACATGTTTTACTGATATGTGTAATAATTCTGTATATTAGCTACAAGACTTTATGCACCTCCACACCTCAATATTATACTACTTACAAAAATTAATATAATTTTGTATTATATTAGTTTTTTTAGTTTATCTTTACATGCATAATAATATAATATTTATATAGCTTATCAAATAAAGATGTATATATTTGCGTGTATCTGCATATTATATTAAAAATAAATTGTAATAGTAATAATAATAGCACACAATAATAAATCAATATAATGTATGGAATATTATGTAATAAAAATAATAATATTATGACATGATATTCTTACATTCGTTATTCTTTTTGGCAAATTATAACTATCAGTACAGAGTACTTAATAAATAATCAAGAACCATAAAAATAAACTATTACATAACACTAGAAATACATTTGGGGGTAGGGGTTTAGCACTTTAGCCTCTCAATCCCATCCATATTTAACCCCTAGCTTGATTTACTGCAGTTTTACAATTTAAAGTAAACAATAATAAGTGTATAAATAATATTTTTTTTTCTCATCCGCAGTTTCGACATGTTTTCCAAACTGTTCGCGATCATGGTGATTGATCTGACGCTGTTCATCTTGTCGTGGACTCAACACGATTCGCTGTTCTACGTGCACGTTGTCTTCAATCCCATACAAGCTGCGCTGGTACTGTACGTGACCGTAATCCGACCAAAACGAGTTAAGTTTCTGCTGCGCAAGGCCTGCTGCTACGAGCGGTGCATTTTGCCGTGTTGCCGACCAAAGGAAACGGACGTACAAGCTGGCACTGAATGGGGAGAGGAAATGATGGCGTTCAATACCGCCGATTATTAGCGATCCTTCACCCACCCGCCACCAAATGTTTCATTTAACGACACACCTAATACGTTTTATACTAATAAAAACGATCGGATGTCGTCGTGTTTATATTATGTCCTTATTCGAGAAATATAAATATTAAGAACTATACATAATAATAATTAGATTTTACATTTTTATAATTATAATTATTTTATTTTTTATATTTATACAAATCGCCATTCCAATAAACGCAATAATAATATTTCTACATAGGTGTAACATTTTGCGTATATTTTACTTACCACAATCGTCAAGTGACGTCAAGATTTGATCTACAGTGGCTCTTAATCTTTTCAAGCCAAATAATATTATTATTATAAGCAGGTGTGTCTGCTCACTGCTGTCATTGAGCTTCATATATGCATTGCAAGTACAAATTCAAATGAATTAGGTACCTAAGTTTTAAAAAAACTATTTGATAAACGTTTGTTTTTTTTGTCGGTTTCTTCATGGCCTATCTTTTTTAATGTTGTGGTTGTAGTGGTTTGTATATAACTTATAAAGAATGGTCATGGTATATCCATGTCGTAGTAGAAAACTTTTTTAACCGATGAATACATTGATTTTTATATAATTATTTTTGAGACTCTGCATATGTTGCAGCTAAATATGTTACTACTAATTGTACCAAAAAAATCGTGTACACATTCGGTTGCTGCACAGTAATCCACAACTACTACGTTCAAATATATTGAGCTACACGCCTACACCATATGATAGATATTGTCATATTTTACTGCATTGTTTTTCTCATTTTGTATTAATGAGAGTGTAAACATTTTACAAATCATTGCATATCAGATGCAGCATCATAATAGCTTGTTGAGTTAGATCATGCATCCAATATTCCAATTTAAGTTATATTTGTCAGATACTTTACAAAATAAGTTATAGGTACATCTCATGTGCACAAATTAATGAACACATCATTTGTAAAATACACAAAAGCAAATTGATCGAGCTTTGACACATCAGTTGTTGAATTCAGTATTAATAATTTCTGCCAATTTCACGTTAGAAAGAACTAAGAAGTTCAGTAATAATGATATTATTATAATACAATTCTAGTATAAAATTGATTGCAATTTTTGCTTAACAAAATAATGTCACATTGTCTCATACTTTAAGTGACTATATTTTCATCATAAAGCTGGTTTTATAACGTTATAAGTTGATTGGTAATGTATGTGATTGTATATATTTGTTGCTAATAATACATTGGCCATAAAATTACCATTTTTATATTACCTATACGGCTATACCGGACGCTGATCACTAAGACCATGTACAGACTACACACCTATTAAAATGACACCCACCCCACCCTTTTTGGGGGTTCAGTAAACCACAAAATGCATGATCAAGCAGCCTCTGCCTTGACATTTATTATCTCCCTATATGCTATAAATATAACATACCATCCATAAGCCTAGAATACCAGTAAGTTACCTATTATTGTTCTAACAAATATATTATTTGAAAACAATTATTCAAAAAGATTCCTCAAGAGTAAGTCATTAATCTATATTTTGTACATGCATTATATTGATATTTTAACATATTATATTAATAATTAATAAGTTAAATTATTATTAATTTTTTATGAATTTTGTATCTCTCTCCTTAATAAATGTATACTAAATTAAAGTGATTTAGACATAATTATAGTATAATACGGATTATATTTCCATTATAGGTATATAGTATACAGTAGATCCAGGGCTTAATTTGTGTTAAAAAAAAACTAAAAAATCTTAAAAATTAACATGTTAAAGGTTTATTATATATAAGCCCAGAAAAAAGTGGGCTATATATATAATATATTTTATATATAAACGGATGCAAGTCCTTTACAATATTTTACGTGCAAGCACTCTAAAAATAATACACAATGTCATAGGAATGACAAAATTACAATAACTTAGATGCATAGTACAGATATAAATTACAAGTATAGGCAAAGAGAACGTAAAAAGTAAATACAACAAAGAAAGATATATTTTATTCTAAATACTTTTAGTTTTAACTTTTATCAACTGAATTCCTGTACTTTAAAGTTGTACAAAAATCCATTTGTGAACTGAAAGTTGCTTAACCAAGAAAGATCAGAATTCCGACCATCAAACCTAAAGATAAACTATTTTGGTCACGTACTATGGTAAGATATGATGGATCGCACAGCGATAATCCTACTAAATGGGTTTGTAAGATGTGCTTGACATTTATATTGAGCGAAGAAGCTGTTGAAAACCATTTTACCAATTGCAGTGGACAATCTAACAGAGCTCCACCTAAACTAACAAAAAGTTAAGGTTCACCTAGTCTCATATTTTATTTATTATTATCAAACATGATGTTAAAAAGTTAACAAAATGTTAAAAAAAATACACAATTTAAAACATTAAAAATAAAACAGTTTATTTTTTAAATAAATAATATGAAAAGTCTTTCTCTGATTTAACTTAATAATTATAAAAAGAAGCTACTAACTAATATTAGAAAAAATAATAATAATAAATGCTTCTAAAATAATAATAATATTCAAACCATGTTTGATCTACAACATAAAATTATTTTTCAAGTTCTATATTTTAACCTATTATGCCTAGGTATTAATACATTTCCTTACTAAATAACATCTAGATAAAGATAAAAATAATTAAACAACATTTTATCTAGATATAGTCTAAAAGTTAATACATTTTTATCTAGATAAATTTCAGATAATTTCATTCTGAATTTTGCAAATATTCAGTGATATAGGTATTTATTTAAAAAAAAATACATAATTTAAAACATTAAAAATAAAATAGTTTATTTTTTAATACATAATATGAAAGTCATTATCTGACTTAATTTAATAATAATACAAAGAAGCTTCTAGCTGACATTAAAAAAAAAATAATAATAAATGCTTTTAAAATAATAATAGTATTCAAACCATGTTTGATCTACAACATAAAATTATTTTTAAAGTTCTATCATTTAACCTATTACGCCTAGGTATTAATACATGTATTGCCTTACTAAATAACCTATCAACTGGTGCTGAGGACAGAATTATAGAATTATATTTTAGGAATACCTCTAATAATTACTCAGTCCTGCCCTGGACGGGTGGCCGTAAAATTATATTGTCATCAGTTTTGACATGCTGATACAGTATCAGTAAATAAGTACAACCGAGCTATACTCCCCAAACTAACGAAAGAGAAATAGTTTAGTCTTATTTTTATTTTGTTCAGAAATGAAGATACTCGTTACATATGTCAGTATAGTAACAATTTATTTTAAAGGCGTGTTACGCTAAAGAAGAACCTATAATATGATGAAAATTCACCCAGCAGAAAAATCCGATAATGAAGTTGAAGATGGTACTGAAATAACAAAACATGCAAATGACGATAACGACAAACTTGAGAACTTTAGTTAATACTATTCCATTAAGTCCATTAATACTAAAATAACTATTGAAATTTTATCATAGACAATTACATAATTTCCATTTTACATAATTTCAAGTTTATAGTTACCGTCATTTGTATGTTCTGTTATTTCAGTACCATCTTCAACTTCATTATCCGATTGTTCTGCTGGGTGAATTTTCATAATATTATAAGTTCTTCTTTGGCACCTTTGTTACTATACTGACATATGTAACGAGTATCTTCATTTCTGAACAAAATAAAAATAAATTAACTTTTTACATTATGTTTGATATTAATTAATATAAAAATAAGACTGAACTATTACTCTTACGTTAGTTTGGGGGGGTATAGCTCGGTTGTATTGGCCGCTGCAATTGGTCAGACGTTTGTCCTCTTCTCTCAATGTGCATTTCAGGCACACTTTGCATACAAATTTGGTAGCATGATCACTGTGCGATTGTACAATTGTACGTTGACAAAATATTATTTCTCTTTAGGTTTGATGGTTGGGACTCTGATCTTTCTTCGTTTACGTGACTAACAGTTCTCAAATGGATTTTTCGACATCTTTAAAGTACAGGAATTCTGTTGACAAAAATTAAAACTTTAAAAGTATTTAGAATAAAATATTAGGTCAAAATCAATATTTTTACTTATTTACTGATACTGTATCAGCATGCCAAAACTGATGACAATATAATTTTACTGCCACCAGTCCAGGGCAGGACTGAGTAATCATTAGAGGTATTCCTAAAATATAATTCTACAATTCTGTCCTCAGCACCAGTTGTGAGGTTATTTAGTAAGGAAATACAAGTTTTAATACCTAGGAGTAATAGGTTAAATGATAGAAGTTGAAAAATAATTTTATGTTTTAGATCAAACATGGTTTGAATATTATTATTATTTTAGAAGCATTTATTATTATTATTATTTTAAATGTTAGCTAGTAGCTTCTTTGTATTATTATTAAATTAAGTCAGATAATGACTTTTGATATTATGTATTTAAAAAATAAATTTTTTTATTTTTAATGTTTTAAGTTATGTATTTTTTAAAAATGAATACCTACCTATATCACTGAATATTTGCAAAATTAAATATGAAATTATCTGAAATTTATCTAGATAAAAATTTATTAATTTTTAGATTATATCTAGATAAAATGTGATTTAATTTTTTTTATCTTTATCTACATACAATTTAGTACTGTTATATTTATCTTTATTTAATAAATTATTAGTGATCTATTCCAAACATTCTACATTAGGTTTTTAGGTGTATTATAGCAACGTTACGATTAGTGAACTACTATAAATATCATAGGCGTTACATAATTAGGAACAATTGCAGTTTAGTTCCAACTCGCCATTTTGAATTTTTTTAATCGAATTTTATGTAACTCATCGAATTAAGAACGATTGTGCTAATTCGTAGTAATGGCTTTCCAAAGTTTTCTATTTTACGTTTATAAGCATGCCCGCAACACTACTATAATTTTTTTACTAACTATTACCATTTTTGTTGCACCGATTCACCGAGCAC